GCAACCAGCCACACAGGGGCACTGCGGGCTTGGCCTCGAGAGAAGCAGGAGGGGATGGAAGGAGCTGCCGGCTTCCCGGGCAGCCTTGGCACTGCAGCCCGGGAGGACTGTGCTGTTTCAGGTCCTGTATCACCTGGAAATAACTTTTTTTTTTTTTTCCTGCTAATTAAGTCTTTAGACAGCAGTGCAAGGGCTGCTCCAGAAATGATCAGACCCACTGGAAGCAGCAGGGATGGTTCTTGGCTTGCTTGGAGGCCCCTGACTGCAAATGCACAGGGTTTTTGGGTGGTGTTTGTTAGGGCACAGTGGGATGGGGCTGGTTCTGGATCCCTTGGCTGTGTCAGGTCAAGGGAGAAGTTGGACTTAGAGGCACAAAAGCAGCTCGCTGAGGCTCCAGCTCTTCCCTGTGAGAGGCAATTCAGAAATACCTTAATGCCTCCTTAATGTTCATCAGGGGTTTGTATCTTTCCTGGACTTCTACAAAACATATAAATATATATATAATTGTGAATTTACTTTTTTCTTCATATTAACATTTTCTCTTTAAAAAGCCCCACAAAATAGCATGTTAACTGTAAAGGAGCTAACTAACATAGTGTGATTTTTTCAGCCCTTTGTTACACTTTTTCAAATTATTTGAATGGTGTCTAATTGGTTCACCACTAGTCCAACAGTTGCAACCTAATCACCTGAAAAGTAAAAAGGTCTGTATGTATATATAATGCTGTATCTCTTAAGGTTATCCAAGGAAGTCAGCAGCTAAATCCCTGCAGTCAGTACAGAGAAGGGGGAGGGCCAATGTGTTGTTGCTAGACAAAAGGCACAGATAGATACTCCATCTCCACAGAACACTAGGCTATTTCAAGAGCTATTTGCATTGCTGGGTAATCCATGGGGTACCAGGGTATACTCGTATGTTCACTATTTCTTATCTCTGACTTTTAAATCAGCAATGTCCAACAGGCTTTGTTTTGTTGTTTTTTTCTTTTCTGGGATTTTTTCATTTGCCCAATTCTGTTCTCTCTGTATCTCTCCCTCTTCCTGAAACTGTCGATTTTCATCTTTTGATTTTTACATGTTTGTGCTGCTTCATTGTCCATAGGCACTACCTGTGAATCAAGAACCTGCTGTGCTTGGCGTCTTAAAAAACAAACTTTAAAAAAGCAGGACCTGCTCCAGAAATGATCAGACCCGCTGGAAGCAGCAGGGATGGTTCTTGGCTTGCTTGGAGGCCCCTGACTGCAAATGCACAGGGTTTTTGGGTGGTGTTTGTTAGGGCACAGTGGGATGGGGCTGGTTCTGGATCCCTTGGCTGTGTCAGGTCAAGGGAGAAGTTGGACTTAGAGGCACAAAAGCAGCTCGCTGAGGCTCCAGCTCTTCCCTGTGAGAGGCAATTCAGGATTTTTGCTCTTGAAACCTCTGGGAACACTGGTGTGATGAGGTCTGGTGGAGGTTTGGTGGCAACATCCAGCTGCCTCTGCCAGGGCAGCGATTCCCACCGGGATCACAGGGAGTGCCTGAGCCTGCTCTCCTCTGGCTCCCGAGGCTCCAAGCAGGGCAGAATTCCTTATCTTCCTCCAG